CTAGCATGACAGCCAGAAGTTGCCTACTCGGAGTGGTAGCAAGACGGGCATGGTTCAAGGATCAGTACAGCGACAATACTACTCGAAACCGAGGTCGGTGCATCAGCGCTAGGCTACGCCTACCCTCAATCAAGTGAGAAGAAAAAGAGGTGAGGATGAAAGAACGAGATGGCAAAGAGAAGGGGAATGCCAGATGTCGATAGACATCGCGGTGGGCAATGCAAGGAGGCGACGCATCCCTTGTGGACAACGCTAGCTCTTGACAAGGCACACGACGATGGTTTCTCCTGGGTCGCAAGGCGATAGGTGTGGGACACAAGGGGAATGACGATAGGCACCGGAAGCACTGAGGAATCTCTCAGACAGCGATGAGTGTTGTCAGGGCCTCTAGCGGGCGGCGATAGGTATCGCCGTCTACGTTAGATGCGCAGCAGAGGAAGATTCCAGCAGAAGGCAACACACTTCGTTGTCTAGGCTCTTCATCAAGACATCAAAGCTACGTTTGTAGGCGGCAATGGGCAGCACCATCTACAGACTTCATTGAGAGAAAGAGACAGACGAGAAGGAGGGGAAGAAGACTCGCGCATGGTGCTGCCATCGCCATGCGCGGCCTGCGAGACCATGGGAGAGGCATGTACGGCACTGCCACTGTCGTGCAGACCTCCGTGAGGGACTCAGAAGAAGAAGAGGGAGAAGAGAGGGGAGAAGGGAGAGAGAAGAAGAGAAGAAAAATAAGAGCGAGAAGATTTACCTCAACCCTAGGGGTACTGATCGAAAGTTTTTCTCACCTCACCCTCTCTCTCAAGCGTAACACCATAATTGTAAGAAAGAGAAACTTGTATTAAGTGAAAACTCTCTTATGTGTGTATGTATGTACCTTCTCTCTTTTCTTTACGTACAATGATGGTACGTATATATAGAAGTGTGCCCCAAATATGGGTGGATGATCAAAAGTAACCTTAATTTTTGGAAATTAAGAATAAATTGATTTAAAAGAAATTTGAAATTAGGGTGCAAAATGACAGATTTGCCCCTTCTTAACAAGTTGTAGAATTCCAAAACAATCCCTGTGTTGCCTTAGGACTTATGTGTTCTTGCATGGCTGATCCAGGGTCGCTTTGATGCCCAGTTGATCGTAAGATGATTGTTTTCTCTTAGGGCTAGGCATGATGATCGATTTGATACCAACTTCGAGCCATGGATCACGTTTTTGGTGCATGATCATGTGACTTGAATTTTGAGTACATCTTGAAACTTCGAATCGATAGTGTGTTTGTTTCATGATGTTTTTATGTGTTTTCTTCACTGAATCACACTAAGCATGCCGCTAAGATCACAAGGCATTAAACGCAGCTTGATTCTATGGCCGAACAAAGATTTTGCAAGTTTGGAATTTTGGCTGGAATCAAGGATTCCGGTGACAGAATTTGCAGTTGGCTTCGTCGACTTCACGTATAGAATCTGACCGTTCATTATATATGGGGTTCGGGTCGGAGATGGCCTGAGACCTTAAGCCCACAATGGAATTGGTTTCATGTCGTTCAGGCTCTTGAGCGGCATGATTTGGCCGCTTGAGCGAAGCACGACGCTGCTGAATTTCTTGCACTTTCTTCACGGATCAATAGCTTCTCTCTAGCTTTTCTCCGTGTTCTGGGATCGTCACAGAGCGTGCCACATATAGAATCGCTCGTATGGACGAGACGAACATGCTCACCAAATTTGAGGGCGATCTGACATGGGACGGTGGAGATATGAGCATCGAAAGTCACTAATTGTGACTGTCCCTTTCATGGTGTAGTGTTGCAGGGTGGGCGCATGGGAATAGCGTGCGGTTCCTCCTGTTTCACTCTTTCGCCTATAACTCGTTTGGGCTAAAACTTGACCCCTGGGGGTTTTCAACCGTGTCGGATTCAATGGTGGTAGTCCCACAGTAATTTGAGATGCTAAAAATGTAGCTCTAGTTATAGGGGTCCCTTTGAGGGTGATAGAGGCCGATTCTGCCGGAACTGTTCCTCTGTCTGCACTGACTTAGATATGTTGGAATGTGACGAAACTTGGCAGGAGACTTTTGAGAGACCTCATGAAGATCTTGGCTAGTTTTGGGGCTGTTATGAGAATGTCGAAATTTCCACTACTTGCTAGGCCTTTATTAAGCGGGGGCCTCATGTTGATGAAAAATACCGTCCAACAGTCGAAAAATGGAATTCCAGTGACTGGAAAATGTGCATTCTTTAACATCAAAAGTAAGTGTCATTCGACTTATGATCACACACAAAAATGATATCAAATTAAAACCCTAAGAAGCACAGTCGCAATGAACCCATATTTGTGACGATTCGAAATATCAAGATATAGCCTCTTGAAGATGGAGATGTTTCACTTTTCAAATCTGAAATTCAAATGTTTCAAGCCCATCTTCTCTCTAAAAATTCGTCCATTCCGGGCCACGTCATGGGACGTGCCATATGTCAAAACGGGCGTATCTACGAAATCCAGCTCATGTCAAAATTTGAGAGTAATTATACTTAAAATGAGCAAGTTATGAGCATTACAAATTCATCTCGAGATTGAAAAATATTATTTCCATAAATGAAAATTGGTTCACTGAGGCTGCACCATAATAGTGTAAAACCCACCATTTTATGGTAAGTTTGGTCCAGAATGGTCTCAGAAGGTTCGATTGAGCCGAAAATTGGTATTTGGGAGATTTTTGACATTCTGGATCTAATGGAAGTGGTTTGGTGCTCATCTAAGACCTTGATAATAGGGTTGTAGTTATGAGGCCCCTTTTTAACATGACAAGATTTGGATTTGAAAACCGAGTTTCGTCCTAATTAGCTCAAAACTTGTCGGAGTGCGAAGAAACTTTACGAGTGTCCTTAGGGTACCCAAAGCTACCTTCCCATGCCATTTGAGGCCGATCTGACAGTTTCTTTTGGTACCCAAAATTGGCTTATTTTCACAGTGCTCTCATGGTATGTTGGCGTTTTTGATACCAACCGGTCCAGTTTGCAACTGGCTCTCTCCTTATGCGTCTCGAGGATACAAGTACATAAAAAATGATGTATAACAGGTGCTCTAACTTATCTTATGGATGGAATTAGGGCTTTATGGTTATTGCAGTCATAATAATGTTTTTTCCTTATAACAGGATGTGATTGAAAATTTATGATGATATTTATAATGTGATCGAATGTTTATAAGTTACATCACCATACATGGTTTTTCGCATGTTGAATCTACTTATCTATGTATTATAGGAAATTCCTGCTAAAATGTACTATGTAGTTTTCAGGGGCTGACGAACTAGAACTGCTTCATAAGTTGAGGCATCAAAGAAAGGGAAAATTTCAAATTTGAGCCTACCTCAAAAATTCTATTAGAAGATGTTGTTTTGATGCCTAAATATCTTCAAATTGATCATCTCGACATCAAGATGTATGGACATGAGAAAAAATTGGATTTCAAGTTTTGGAAATAGTACATTTTGTAAGGTAGGCTCAAAGAAATGCAATATTCGTCCTATGTACTCTGTGCTACCGTTGTTAATTATCCTTATTAGTGCCATACACTTTTAATTTTTGAAAAAGTAGTTGGAATATGATCTTTTAAGCTTATCTGCATTGTCGAGCTAAACTAACTACTGTTGTAGTGATGATTATATATAAATGTTATGATACATATTTTGTTAAGCATGTAGTAATACAGCTCACGACTTCATACGTACATGGTCATGCTTTATTGGGGTTTTAGTTTTTTTGTAATTTAGCAACGGATGAAAGGAATTTGAGAGAGATACTTTGCTTGGCTTTTAATTTATGTAATTTACGAATGGATATAAAGAATTTGAGAGAGAGTGAGAGTGAGAGAAAAAGCATTTGATGGCTTCTTTTAAAGCCTATTTGATAACGGGAAGTTTTATGAATTGTAAATTGGAAGTTCCTTCTTGCTGGGAAGATAGAATTTACTATAAGAAGTTTGTGGTTTCTGTGTTTGATAACCTCAGGAGAAATTAAAGAAGTTCTTGGTTTCTGTGTTTGATAACATGCTGCAAGATTAACAAGTTATAGTGAAAGCGCAAAATGTAGAGCACATGTTTCCCATAGATTAACAAGTGATAGTGAAAGTTGCAACATGTAGAGCACAGGTTTCCCATAACAATCATTCAAGCCCTAAAATGACAATAAAGAGTAAATGAAAAACTCCCTAAAAAATAAAAAACAAGTATTTCTATAAATCTCACGCCATGAACTATCCATTCTTTCAGTTGTCAATAGATTGTGATGAACAACCTATAGCAAAAAAAATGATTTAGATTGTGATGAACATAATCCCTTATACCCATCTAGCAAGAAAGAAAAATGACAAATTTTGGACACGTTCAAATTGCACCTTTGACCCATCTAGCAAAAAAGGAAAAAGACAAATCTTGGACATCCACTCATAATTAAAAAAAACAAAAAAAAAAAACCTAAATTTTTGTCCAAATAACTACATTTTCATGTTGAGAAGGCTTTCACTATAAATAAAAAAATCTAAATCAGATTGTGGCGGTCTTTAATGTCTAGCGATGCACTAATTAGAAAGAATCCATTCACACAATTAAAAAATTGCATGTTTAGTGCATGTAGCAAGAGATTGAAAAGCAAGACTGCTTAAGCATCCATTCAAATATCCAATAAAAAACTAACAATTTCATCTAAAAATCCACATTTTCATAAGAAAACAATCTCATAGACATCCATTCATAAAATATGTGAAAAAAAAAAAAAGTCTGAAAATAACAAGACGTCTTAGGCATCTATTAAGAATGTGTTCTCGTAGAGAAAAAAACCATTTCACTTGGGCGAGGTGGAGAATACAGGCTGCATCTGCAAGGTTAGTAAATTTCCTTTTCCCAAAATTTACCCCCAAAAAAGAAAGTTCCATTTCTCGCCCAATTGCTCCCCAACAGAGATAGAGATTTTAGATTTAGGCGGTGTGAACAGAGAGATGCGATTACAACTAATAGATAGAAGACCGTGATAGAGATTTTAGATTCCGCGGTGTGAAAAGAGAGATGCGATTACAACTATTAGTACAGGAGAGAGATACGATATAGAGAAAGAAGCGATTTTGGAGAAAGAGAGATGGACGAGGAAAAAAGTTTGAGAGGAGGGAGCGAAGGCATTTTAAACCTTCCCTTCAATTCCTCACTCCGCATTACTTACCATCCCCTCTTCCCCCATCGTCATCAACCCAACAACCAATTCCTCCTCCTCGAGCTCGATCCCACCCTCCTCCCCTACTTCTATAACAACCAGTACCCTCTTTCTCTCTCTCTCTCTATTATCATTTTCATTACGCTTGTCGTCTCATGAATGGTGGTGTTCTAACAGTTTCCTTGCATCTATCCCTTTTCAGAGTTACTGTCCGTGGTGATCCAGATGAAGAAGCGGTTCTCTGCACCCCCTCTTCGACCTACGCCCTCAAGTTCGTCTCCACCTCCAATTCAGTCTTTCTCATTCCTCCCCCATCTTTCGAAAACCCAATGCAGAAACCATTGTCGTCTCCTGTGATCGAGCTCTCTCCAGGTCACATGGAGCTCCTCTGCGTAGCCCCGCAGCTGGACAAACTCAAATCCCTTCTCTCTACTGTTACTTATAACCCTAACATAACGGACGACGAGGGACAAGAAGAGGCTTCGTGCCTTTTCACCTGGTCTGATCTGATAAGTAAGGTTCAGGCCAGTGACCAAGAGTTGAAGGACAGGCTTAACTCTCTTTCTGCCATTGAGATCAATGGGAAATGGAGGATCTTGGACCAGGGATTCATGTCTGATACCCTCGAGCTTCTCATTCGCAATGCTACTATTCATGGATGGCCTCTTGGAGCATTAAGAGAGGACCTGGTTTTGCCTGTGCTTGAGGCTGATGGGGTTTCTCTTGAATTTGGGTGCCATTGCCTTAAGGCCTTTGGGAGAGAGAAAGATGTGGGAGTCTGGGCACTTTGTGAGAGGGCGGTGTGTGTGAATTATGCGAGGAAGATATTGGGGAAGGTGGGGAAGATGAAGAGTGAGAATTTTTTGATGAAGCTGCAGAGGAGGGTGCCTGAGGGGTTCGCGGTGGGAATGGAGATGCTTGAGGGGGAGGTTTTGGCAGAGAGGGTTGGAGCTGAGGTGTGGGTTCGAGCGTTCAGTGTCTCTTCGCTGCCTTCTGATCCTGCAGAACGCTTCTCTATTCTCTTCAAGGAACGCCAGAGGTGGGAATCACAGGACTTGGAGCCTTACATCAGGTGCTTTCTTTCTCCCTGCATTCTCTAACCTTGCATCAGGCTCGCTCCCTCTCTCTCTCTCTCTCTCTCTCTTCCATTCATTTTATACTCTATCTAGGGTTCTCCGCAATGGCATTTATGTGATTATTCTTTTGTAAGTGTTTGTTAACTCTATCTGTTTGACCTTGAGAATGGTATGCGTTAAACCCTCTGTTTATGTGATGAGTAAGTGAATACTCTCTGTTTTGATCAGGGACCTGCGTGTGCCCTGTCTCTCTTCAGATAGCTTGCTTATCAAGTATACTCGAAGAATACAGCCGACTGCAGACTCCGTGCCCATCTTCACAGCAAGATGAACTGCCCATCCTGGTTTGGGACAACTTGGGTTTTCTCTGTTATCCTTTCATCGTGGTTTCGGTTTGGAAGTCTTTCTTATCACCGATAAGCTTTTGATTTTTCTTAAATTCCCCATTTTTGCCATCTTATTTGTCATTCAAAGAGATTCATGATGTGGCATTTGGGTCTTAATAATGTTTGTACACTATGGAAGTTGGTTTGTTTAGTCACTCTTGATATTGCAGTAGATCTGTTCCATGGATATACATGTTTTGGTTTTTCTTCTTTTATATATGTTTGCTTTAAGTTGACAGTTGTTTTTTCTTGGATGAATGAGGTAGAAGTTTTTATTTGTTTGTCTGGAATGGGGGACTACAATGCGTGGATGTAGACATGCATCATGGAATTATTATCTCCATGCTGTGGGATCTCTGTTGGTGTGTAGTAATGGTTGATATCTTCCTTCAAACATTGACAACATTCATTGCTTCCTCACTTGTCCTAGTTATTCTAAGCAATGGTCACATGTCAAATTTGCCTTTATGTGAAAAATTAGTTGCACCCTGAATCTCACTATTTTTTAACCCAAAACAGTCTGGATGAACTTGATGCTGGCTTGTCAAGTGTTAAAAACATGGTTTATACAGACCTGAGGCATAGGAAGGATAACCCACAAGTCATGAGCTGTTTGAGTTGGTTCCGACATACTAGGTTTCACTGAGGATCACAGTCTTCAATTTTGACTTTTTAGGCATTGTTGTCCCATTTCTTCTTTGTATATTTTTCTCAGATGTGCAATGAATTCCTGAGGGAATCACCATGGTGCAAAAATGGCGAGAGGTGTTGTAAAATTATGTTAGGCACCTAGTTTCATCTTCCTCCTGCTCTTTTGCAAATTGAGTGTTGTAATCTGAATTATGAGCCTACAAAAGGTCACTGCAAAATGTTGAGAAGAGACTTAAAATGCTTGTCAAACATTTTTGAATGAAATATTTGTTCCTATAGCTGCAACAACTTTCTTGTTCTTTTTTGATTTTTTTTTTTGTTTTTTTGGGAAGCTTGGTGCCAGACCAGTTTTTGGTTCCAGGGCAGTTCTATTAGGTAGTTTTTATGCTGCTCTGTTTTGGGTTGTGCGATTTTACTGTTTTGACTCTTCATCCACATCCCTCGCACTTGATTTCTATTATATGGATGTTTTGCTTTCCAAACTTGTCAACTTGTATCAATAATCTAGCTGAACGTGATTCCACTTGATGAAGATGCACATTTTTTTATTATAGTCAAAGCCTATTTTTGAAGATATAATAATGAATGCTTATCAGGAATTATCCCCTTCTTTGGAATCTTAATGACATTCAAGAACCTATTCACATATGTAGTCATGCACATTTGATGAGGATGCACATTTCTTTGGAATTTTCCCCGGTTTCTATGCGGCCAAGCCTGCATATCTAGAAATGCAAGCCTATTAATAAATCTATTTTTGAGATGGATTTTTGCACTTAATTTTTGAGGACATGTAATCTTTAACCTGGAGATCATGAATATGAAAAAATAAATAAATTTAGAAAACTAAAAATAATAATTCTAGTAAGAAAACATGTGGACCGTTAGTGTCCATTGTTTTTAGATGGAACACCTACTTGCATCCATCTTTAAGATGGATGCTTTACACGTTTTGGACTGCACAGGTAGTCATGCAGTTCAGCCCACTTGAAACAATTTTCCTTTTTTTAAATAATTACAAAAACTTGTTACAACTGTTTCTTCTCTTATGCATTGATTTATCTTTCCCTAACTTATATATTCAAGTCTTGAGACGATTGCTATGTATCAGCAAATTATTAAAGGAATGTATGGGTGATGACATTTCTTGCAACGTTGCGGGTTTTCATTTATTGACATTTACTGTCCTCAAGTTTTCTGTTATTACTGTGATCCTCAAATAAATGAATCCTTTTGAGGAGCTTACAAGACCTTGTCTAAGCTTTGTATTTGTGAAATCCTAATTGTAATCTTTGTTTTTTTTCCTTTTTTCTTTTTGACCATAGTAACAACTAATTGTGATCTTTGTTTTCCTGACATATTTTCTCCTTTTTGGGTTACACTTGATTATTTAGCAAGTGTGCAAAGGTGAAGCTCACCTTGAGGAGATTTAAGTGGTGTGACACGAATGAATGATGTTCTAAAAGAAGCTATAAAGTTTTACATGGAAAAGAAACAGAGACATGGAAAAGAAACAGAGTGAGCATTAGTCAGTGCCAAATTATTGGTTATCAAATTAATGACATTTTGTCATCAGACCCCCTGATGATGCACTTGCATGAGGAGATATGTAGTATTACAAATAGATTATAGGAGGTCAAGGTTCATTGCGAAGAAATAGCTTAGAGAAACAGATTGAACTATGCTGCCTAATCACTTCATGAAAAACTCTGTCAAGTTCCAACTTTCCAAATCTGACGCAGGTTAAGACCCTCAAGTTCCAACTTTCATTTAGATAGCTATCTCTAAGGTGGTATATTAATCATAAGTTTAGTCCTTATGAATTGTTCTCTCTTCCTTTAACAATACTTGAAGACCTAGTCTTCACTTACCACTTTAAAGTTTGAATTACAAGCACCAAAAGCCTCTGTAGCTGATCAGTTAGCAAATATCTTGTGCATTATTTGCAGTCTATGGAAGAACAGGGAAATTCGAAACAATCTATAGAAGCTAAAGAAAGCCATTTAAGAAGGCATTCTTCACAGAATGTCGTTGGAGTGACTGATAAATGACCATTTGATGCTAGTGCAAATGGAATGTCGATCTCAGGCTTTTGTAATGTAAAAGCACATGCGTTCTCATAGACTGATTATACCATGATGGAGTCATTAACCACTATTCTTGCTTTAACTAGATCCATTGTGATTCCTTTTCTAGTATTGATTTCATTGTTGAGGATGAATGAGATCGCATATATAATTTGCATTCAAAGCCTGAGCTCTTCCTTTCTTGCTTGTTGAATGCATGCTCGGGAATTTCTAAAAGGCTATGTACATGAGTGAATTGCTCCGAGGAAAGTGCAGTGGGAAGGTGTCACGACCGCTCCCCACCGGACTCCTAGAGGGCCAGGGCCGGGCCTACCGGAGGATTGTAGGGTGTGGGGCCACGACCCAAGGCACAAAAAACCTTTGGAAACAAATTGGGAAGAACGACGGTTTCTTTAGGTTTCCCTTGTTTATTGATGAGTTGATGCACATGTCAACAATAGAAAAAACCTGAAAGTGGGGGTTCTTGAAAAGGTGGGTAGAACTTGAACTGTAGCATTGGGAATTGGATGGGAACAATGGTACCAGAGAATGTAATAAAAGTTGGAGTGATGAGATCCAAGAAACAGATGCGATCATTTAAAATGTGTCAGTTGCAATAATGCTTGAAGTGAATCATTAATGAATTCTTTTGAGAGGTACGCAACTGCATTTTAAGACCGTTAAACATTTAAACAAGTAAGAGAAGTTTATGCTCCTGTCCCACTAATGTAACATTATTTAAAAATTCTCCCTCCCTACCCACCCCCACAACCCAAAAAGAAGAAAAAAAAACAAACCTCTCGTAAATGCATTTTAAGATGGTTACAGTTTAAGCAAGTATAAGAGAAGTTTATGCTCATGTCCCCCTAATGTAATGTTATTACAAAATTGTCCCTTCACCTCCACAACTAAAAAACAGAAAAAAACCCATCCCCAATTTTTTTTTTTTTATCTTCATTCCCTTTTTTCCACTTTTTTTTTTTTTTGTTTCCAAAATGTCCCTACGTAGGATCGCCAGGTCAAAAATGACAACCACTATGGATCGAAGTTATGAAGAATATTTATTATTGTGACTACATACCTTCTTTGTCCGAAGTTAAGCTTTTTTACTGATTTCGAATTTTCAGGGTCCAAAGTCAAGATTTTATTGTAACTTGTACATCATTTCGAGTCTTTTTCCAATCTTCAAGATCTGAAGTTAATAATTGTCTTTTCACTTTTGAACTTGGGTCATTTTCGAAAAAAAATAAAAAACGACAAAAAAAATATGAATGTAAAAAACGAAAATTTGTTGGCATTTTTATAATAACCGTTACTTTAGGGGGACAAAAACATAAATTTCTCTAGATAAAAAACAGAAAAAGTAAAATTTGGATGGACGTACATCTAATGATTATGGAAGTGAGTAGATTCCATAAATCCACACCGTGAAGACTATGAATTCATGCTATTGAGTGGAAATTTTTTCAGAGATTCTTAGAAACCCCCCTCCGTTATAAACCTGAAATATCACATTGCTGCCTTGACTGGTCAGTTCTTTGGCATTTTTGCTTGTCCTTGGTCCAATGCTGGAAGTTTTCTTAAAATCAAGGAGCAATTGGCGTTGGTCATAAAGTTACAAGAGGTTTTCTTTGTATTACATCTGAGGCTAAGTGATGCTGCTTGCCATGGTTTTTCACAGTACATCACAGGGGTGTAATGTCAGAGGGTTCATAGGTATATCCCTGATTGCCCACATTTGTAAACCAAGTTTCAAATACAGAGTGGTGCAAATAGGAAATTATGAGGTCATAGGACAATGTTTGGCTGTGGGATTGTTCGTAGGGTTTTCTCACACATTGGAAAGGTAAACTCACGACATTGCACAATACATCACGGAGGCGATGAACTCTTGAAATTGGGAACCAAAATCAGGGAGTTGCTTGCTTTCTTTAAGGTGTTAAACGGTCCTGTTTTGGTAAAATTTTGAGGTGCAAATAGGTCTCTAGAAGTGTGCAAGTACACTCTCAGGATATAGCGATACCGAAAATAAATTTTTAAATCTTTGACTTTCACACTACCCGTATAAAACCACAATCTATAAATCTGATATGTTTTTCCAATCGGTATAATACTACAAACATCAATTGAAATAAGATTCTCTCACAACATAAACACCATCCAATCTTTATGATAGAAATATCGATTGAAAAAAAAAACTTTTAAAAACAAATATTACTTGAAAATGAGAGAACAAAATTTAAAAAACAATCCTTTCTCTCACTAGAGAGAGTACATCCAAAAGAGTACAGTACTTCTCACTAGTTCTTCCCCGTACTTTTCTCTCATGTCATAAATCCTCTTCTCATTTGGTACATCTCTCAATATTTTCTCTCATTCCAAAAGGGCCATATAAGTATGTACCACTCTCTCTTCTTTTTTCTTCTTCTTCTCTCTTCCTTCTCCCCTCTCTCTTCCCTCTTCTTCATCTGAGTCCCTCGTGGAGGTCGTGCACAGTAATGGCAATGTCAGGCATGCCTCT